GCGGTCAAATACCCAGCCTCCCTAAGCTTCGCAATATCCTCCTCTATGACAGAGGAGGCCATCCATCGGCCTTGATGGTCAGATCCGGACATGATCGAAGATCCGGGGTGCTTAAGCTCGGGCTTTGAGGGGAACTCAGGGCGCGAGATGTGCGAGCGTGGAGATAGAGGGAGAGGGCCTCGGCTCCTTTATAAAGGGGGGAGAATATCAAGCGTCCCCGAATGTGGTCGTTCGGGACTTGCCTAAAAACACGGGGTCATGCCAACAGGCACGGTTGGATTATCCATACATGTATTGATGAGAATCCCGTAATAAGTGGGGACACGATCTCTGCTCTGACAGGACGTGCCAAGGAAACCGCCTCGTGGTGTGCGCGGTAGCAAGTTGTAGGAATGCTTCGAATAAAAACCGGACCGTGGTGTGATGTCACTTTTCGAAGAATTGTCAGCAGATCAGATTCGTGGATTATTATTATTCTCTCTACGGTGGTATATGGAATGTTGTCTTGCAGAGCCGGACACGGTCCTTGTGTTTGGAATTTATCTTGGAGTATTTGGAGATGGAACCCGCCTCGCAATGCCAAAAACAATCTACGCGCCGGACTCATCGTCATTGAAGCCTGGTTCAGGGGCTACTGAGGGAATCCTGTATAAGGGGGTATCCGGACTGCCGGACTATGTACTTTGGCCGGACAGTTGGACTATGAAGATACAAGATAGAAGACTTCATCCCGTGTCCGGATGGGACTCTCCTTGGCGTGGAACGAAAGCTTGGCGATTTGGATGTAGATATCCCTCTCTGTAAACTGACTCTGTGTAACCCTAGCCCCCTCCGGTGTCTATATAAACAGGAGGGTTTAGTCCGTAGGACTCACGATCATTATCAACAATCATACCATAGGCTAGCTTATAGGGTTTAGCCTCTCTGATCTCGTGGTAGATCAACTCTTGTAATACTCATATCATCAAGATCAATCAAGCAGGAAGTAGGGTATTACCTCCATCGAGAGGGCCCGAACTTGGGTAAACATCGTGTCCCCAGTCTCCTGTTACCATTAGCCTTAGACGCACAGTTCGGTACCCCCTACCCGAGATCCGCCGGTTTTGACACCGACATTGGGAGCCTCCAATTAAGTTGTGGAGAGAGCCCCAACCTTGTTTGTAAGGGTCCGGTTGCCGCCTTCAAGGGCACCACTAGTGGAATCAACTCAAATTTGGGCACCCTCTATTTTTTAATAACTCCCTTTGGATTTTTGAATTTATTTCAAAATAAAACCAACTCAAATCCTTTTAGCGAAATTATTTTTGGTTGTGATATTCTTGGGACTTATTTAGGTTAATCTTGTGCCCAATAATATTTCCAAATGGTTTGGTCTCTACCAGAACAAGCTAGGGTTTCAACTATCTGCATTGGGATTTCATCCCTTCTAGGCAAACAATCAAGCAAGTCAAAGTCAAACACAATCAAACCTAGGAAATCATGGGTGTTTCCTAGCAAAATTTTAATTCCCTGTGAAATTTTGAACATACCAGATTTAGGAAAAATCTGGGATGTGACAATTCTCTAGTATTTGAAGGGGAGGGCCTCGATCTACACTTCTACCAAGAGAAATTTGATACTCTTGGGTGTTTGGGCACCCTAGATGGAAGAGATCACGTCGGAGCCAGATTTCATTGTGGTGAAGCTTCATGCTGGTGTTGGGAGCCTTCAATTAAGTTGTGGAGAGAGCCCCAACCTTGTTTGTAAAGGTTCGGATGCCGCCTTCAATGGGCACAACTGGTGGAATTATGACGTCTTGCATTGTGCGAGGGTGTGAGGAGAATATGGTGGCCCTAGTGGCTTCTTGGGGAGCATTGAGCCCCCACGCGGCTCCAACAGAGACGTACCTCCCCCTGAAGTGAGGGAACTTCGGTAACACATCCTCGTCTCCATCGACTCCACTTGAGATTATTTCTGACATTTACTTTGTTCAAGCTTATATTGTGTTTGTATATTGTGCTTGCTTGTGTTGTTGTTATTGAGCTCATCATATAAATTGTCCACTTGTTAAGCCTATTTTGTT